GGAGATGGAGGGCGTGGTCAAAGAGCTGGCCGAGAACAACCACTTCCTGGAGAGGTGACGCTTCTCACCGTCCACACCCAGAAACCCCGTTAAAGGCGTCGCCGTAATTATGAACAAATAGCTTCATGGTTCACTCGTGCACACAAAACAGTTATTAATTTATCAACTAATTCATTTCAGTTAAAACCTGTGAATGGTTTCATGTTCTCGGATCTGTTTGAAGGGATTTTAGATGAGATCAGATTAGACAGAACTCTGCTGATCCCTGGTGGGGTTCCTCAGGGAGGTTGTGGTTCTAGAAGCAGCACGACACCGACAGAAACCAGAAACAAATAATGAGGAAGATTTCCCCTAAAGCTGTGCAGATGAGCCTTAAATGTAACAGGAGGAGGGCTGTTGATGGGTTCTGGGATTTTTTAATGTTCAAAATTTTACAATGTGTAAAATATTCTACATTAAAAAAATAAAAACCTTGTCAGATGTTATTAGTTCAGTTTTAAGGAGTTGACATTAATTCAGAAACCCTGAAGCTCGTAGCTGCTCAATACAGAAAACTCAATAAGATTCTCTTAAACGTACCAAATCCATCATTTTGCCTTTGACGGAGTGTTTATGCAGTCAGACATGAACCGTCCACATGTTCTGATCCTGAGTCCGGTCCGTTTGTTCCTCCTAAAGCCTTCCTCCTCTCCGTCCTGCAGGTTCGGGACTCTGACGCTGGACGGAGGCCTGAGAGGCTGAAGCTGGTGTTCAGACTGGCTGCTGTTTCCTCCTGAAGCCGCCGGCAGCTTGTACATATTCTGTGTTATTCACTCTGTAAATAACGTCGACTGTAAGAAGCTTTTGTACGGACGGATTCTGCTTCGCTCGGCCACCGCAGCACAAAACGCCTGCAAGTGTTTTCAGCCAGAGTCAGTGGAACAACCGCTGCTTCAGAACGTCTTTAATTTACCTCCAAGACACAAAACACACCTTCATCTCAACCACAAACCCCTTAACTCCTCCCTTAAGCTGCTTTATAGAGGTGTGACAAATCCACTAATGGAAAGTTTAAGGGTTTATTAGGTTGGGTTGGACTAATTAATGATTAAAGTTTAAGGGATTCTTGTTAAGTTTTAATCAGATTTGAGACAAATTCACGTCCACATTGTTGGATTACAACATGTTGAGGGGCTTTAATGGCTTTTAAGGGGTTTAAAACTGCTCACAGTGTCAGAGACAGTCCAGGTGTCTGTTAGACGTCCTCAGTTTAAGTTATTTTTGTTTAATAAGAGCATGGAGGGGTTTTAATGTGACAAAAGGTGTTTAAAGGGTTGAACTGCTTTAAAACTGGCCAAAGACTTTGCAAAATGTAAATTACAGCATGTTGTGATATGATTACGTCATTTTTAAAGGTTTTCTGCTCTTTTAAGTCCTTTTACACCCTGAAGGTTTAAAAAGCCTTAACGAAGTAAATCATCCATTAAGTCAGAAAACTCCACACATTTGGGCTAAAGTATGAGTTAGCTATCCTGTCTTGTACGTTATCCATTGTTATATATTCAATAATATCTTCAAGTATATGACAGCTGGTTGTTTTTAGATGAACATATTTAAAACCAAAGTCTCTCATCGGTGCTGCGTCACTTCACTGTAGGACTTCATACCTTTTATTATTATTGTTGGTTCCGTTTATCAACTCATTAAACAGATGAAAAGATTTCTGGTTGCTGATTCAGATGAAGGTGTTTGATGAGTTTTGGGGAAAATTAAGATTTATCAGTTTAATTTAAGGGTTTTTTAAAGAAGACGACCTTTCGTGGTATGTTCCATATCAGTGGGCGTTCAATGTGTTTCTCTGCCTGATTGAGGATAAAAAAGGTTCAGACTCCTTAAAATGACAAAATAGTTTCGCTTTAATAACCAAATAACTTCACATTTGGTGTATTTTAAGGGATTTTTTTACCCTTAAAAAGCCCTTAAACTGTTGAGAACAACACAGTCCATTTCTGAACCCTTCGGTGTCGTCACAGCTCCTGATGAAGTGGAACCCGCTGGTGTCGTTTAACGAGTTTCTGTTGAACCGTGCTGATTCTATTTGATGTTTATTTATATTGTTTAAGGCCGATCAATAGCTGGTATCAGTTTGTTATACCTCCATCTCTGAAGATGTTCCGCTTCTGTTTAGTTCATGTTGGCTTCTGTCACTAACCTGCATTGAACAACCTGTAAATACAGAAATAAATCAAAGTGTGATCAGAGTCGGTCTGAGCTTCGTTCACTGAGTCTGAGGACGTAAACGTGACCTCGTGTGTGTTTGTTGGTGAGGATTGAACTCGCTGCTGTTGGTTCAGCCTCAGTAAGAAGCTGAGCTGTGACTCTACATCAGTCAGACAGGAAGGAACCAGAACAAACACACCAGCTTTGAATGCATTCAGTCAGTCTTTACTCAAACAAACACATCGGAAAGGTGGAAGTTAATCATTCTGCCCCAAAACTAACGAGCAGTTGGACATAATTGACCTTCAGCAGCAGTTGTTGATGTCAGAGGACTGCTCAGTTATCACTTAAACTAAAAATGAATATTATAAAGCTGCTTCTTCATTTAAAAACACGTAATAAAAATAAACAATAATAATAAAAACACTGCAAGATAAATGTAGGATTTACAAATATTTCACTTTTTAAGTCAAATTTAAAAATAACTCAAATATTTTTACTTTAATGTGAAACTTATTATAATTAAAGTAAATAATTCACTTTCTCAGTCAGATTTATGAATAAATGCAGCCGGTGATCCTTCATAGATCTATTGATTATTGATTGCTCCATATGACTGATTACAGACCAGCTCTGTTCCGGTTCCTGCTGTTTTGTCAATAAAGGTTTCTTTGAAACATGTACACACATGAATGACGTCAGCGCGTAGCGTCGACAGGGCTCGCGATGTAAACAGACGAACCCGATCAGTGTGATCGATTCTCTGATCGATCTTCGGGCTGAGCGCTGCTCTGAAGTCGGACCGAGTCCAGTTGGGTTCTGAGCTGTTAGCTGCTGGAGCTAACTCAGCTAGCTGCTAGCACGTTAGCACGGAACAAAATGGATGATAACAAGGTGAGGAAGCTAACGGCTGCTAACAACAACAACACAGCTAACGGCTAACGCGTTCGACTAGTTATCGTCTAGTTAGCCACGTTTAGCCGGTAAGAAGGGTCAGGTTAGGCGCCCGTCGTGTGGTTAGCGGAGGTTCAGGTGTTAACCAGCTAGTTAGCGGCTCCAGAACCGTCCGGTAGAAGCAGCTATTTGAAGCTAATGCTAGCTAACATGTTGGTGACGTCTGATTAACACATTTAACCAGCAGAGCTCCGATAATGTCCTCTGGAGGGAAGGCTGACCTAAACCAGACTAGTTAGGGCTGAACAGGACTAGTTCTGTGGTGGGTTTATTCACTCTGTAGTTTATTTCTGCAGGTGAATGTGTTTACAGCAGCAGGTAGGTGGTTGTTGACATAAACAACCAGAGAACAACAACAACAACACAACAGTGTGTCAGTGGAAAGAAGAGTTTGATTAGAAGCTTCGTCTGAGACAGCAGCTCATCACTCCTCTGTGTGTGTGTTACTGTGTGTGTGTGTGTGTTACTGTGTGTGTGTGTGTGTGTTACTGTGTGTGTGTGTGTGTGTGTGTGTTTGTGTGTGTGTTCCAGATGGTGGCTGGTAAAGTGAAGAAACCTGGAAAACGCGGCCGCAAACCTGCAAAGATCGACCTGAAGGCCAAACTGGAGCGGAGCCGGCAGAGCGCCAGAGAGTGTCGGGCCAGGAAGAAGCTGCGGTACCAGTACCTGGAGGAGCTGGTGTCCAGCAAGGAGCGGGCCATCTGCGCCCTGCGGGAGGAGCTGGAGATGGTGAGCAGACGTTAGAGAACCATGAGAACACCCAGGAAGTAGACAGGCCCCACCTCAGACTGCACTGAGACACCCAGAGACTGGACCAGAACCTTCTGATTCATTAAAGGTCCACAGCTTAAGGTGAAGCAGTGATCAGAACATGACAGAACACATCCAACCAAATGTTAGAACTCAGATTTTAATGTAAATCAGTCATTATACAGACTTTAATGAGAACAAGGATTAACAGATTGCAGCTGTAATTTATTACCAGTCCGTCGACATTCGGACCTCCAGCAGCTTTAGCACAGAATAGAACACATGAGGACCTCCAGCAGCTTTAGCACAGAACACATGAGGAGACCTTCATCAGCCTGAGGCATCATCATCATCATCATAGAGTCACACTGTATTCATGAACTGAACTCAGCAGCAGCTTTAACGAACTTCCATCATCCATCCATCATCTCTACACCTTAGTCCTCACCAGGGTGTCAGGGGGCGGAGCCAATCCCAGAGTGAAGGCAGGTTCACCTGGACAGGTACCCAGTCTATCACAGGGCTACACTTCTATGAACTTTAATGAACTTATTTTAGTTTTCTTGTGTTTGGACTCGGGTCGAGTTTCTTTTCATCCTCAGAACTTCGTTACTGTTCTGACCGAAGCAGCGACTCACATCTCCAGCAGAGCAGCTGGACTCGGACCTGTAGGGAGTCCCGAGTCAGAAACCAGCCGGACACCGAGGTTCTGCTGGTTCTGCTGGTTCTGCTGGTTCTCTTTATTGACACGTCATGAATGTTTTTATCTTTATAGAAACTCTGCGGCTCAGCACCTGTTTACATCCCAGTGATGTCACTATTTAACGGTTGCCATGGTGAATCTGTATTTACTGGTTGCCATGGTGAATGTTGGCGTCCACCGGTGAATGAACTCAGGTGTAAACTGAAGTCAATCGGAGTTTCTTTCAGGCCTCTGATTGGTCGGTTTACCTGCTGACACGTTCTCCTGAAGCAGATCAGGTGTAGTTCAGAGTTCAGGACGGAGGTTAAAACCTGCTGCGGCATCCTGCAGACCTTTAGGAGAACCTTCAGTGTCTGCTCAGCACCACCTGCTGGCTGGAGGACCGAGGCGGCAGCAGCAGGTGTCACAGCGTGAACACCTGACGTGGATCAGGTTTATCCACAGCTCGTCTTTTATCTGACTGCAGAGTCCACAACATACCATCAGGTTTTAGTTTAGCTGAACACGACCGGTGATGGGCGGTACACTGGTCCAGCGGTTCCAAACGGCGCCACACAGCTACCAGGTCCTGGTCTGAGTCTGTGGTCGTCCTGCGTGGAGTCTCCAGGTTCTCCCTGCTGGGTTCTCTCTGGGTTCTCCATCTTCCTCCCTCAGTCCAGAGACATGGTTAGCTGGTGACTCTAGAGCACAGATCTCCAGCTCCGGTCCTGGTGAGCTGCTGTCCTGCAGGTTCTAGACGTTGCTGCAGCACACCGGACTCACATTAACGGATCATTAACAGAACTGTGTAGAACTTGACAACAAGCTGCTGGAGATCCATTAATGTGAGTCAGGTGTGCTGCAGTACCGTCTAGAACCTGCAGGACAGCAGCTCACCAGGACCGGAGCTGGAGATCCCTGGTCTAAACAGTCTGTAGGTGTGATGACTGTTACCTGTCCAGGTGAGCCTGCCCTCAGTCAGCTGGATAGGCTCCGCCCCCGATACCTGACTGAGGATGTATACAGATGATGGATGGATGACCTAATTATACTGATTATACTAATTACACAGCTTGGTCTGAGCTCTGAGTCAAAGTTCAGCCCAGAACGTTGTCCTTTGGTTGGAGTAACGTTCAGAACCATCACCTGTCAGCTGAGCGTAGACCACCTGAGCTCCGGTCGCTCACAGGTCCTGAAACTGTGTGAGTCTAAAATCATTCAGGTTCTTGTGCAGCAACAGAAGCACCAGGACTTTAACGTTCAGGTGGTTTTATGAAAATGAGAACACGGCTTGTGACTGAACCCTCTGGACCTGGACCTGGACCTTCAGGGTCCGGTGCAGGACGAGGGCTGTCCAGCAGCTCATGTTGTGTTGCTGTGTGTCCTGCAGTACAAGCAGTGGTGTTCCGCCATGGATCAGGGCAAGATCCCCTCCGAGATCAAAGCTCTGCTGACCGGAGACGAGCAGAAGCTTCCTCAGAGCGGCAGCAGCACCAAGACGTCCAAGAACAGCAAGAACAGCATCAGCAGCTCCACGGGTCAGGGCTAGAACCTCCCGCTGCGCTCCATCCACGGCCACATTTCACCGGTTCTGATCCAGAGTGAGCCTCTGTAGGTTCGTTCTGTCTTTCCTTCAGCATCAGTGACTGAAAACCAGCAACAGGAGAAACTCGAGCTCCTCCTGAGAAGCTTCAGACTCCGGATCAGACGGCCCGGAGACGGAGTTCACTGGATCCAGTCTGTTTCCTACAAGTGTTTAAATCAGTCGCTTCAGTTCTCTGTAGGTGTGTTAACGTTGGAGATGGTTCTGATCAAATCAAACTGGACTCATTGAATCAAGGTGTTCTGTTCTGGTGAGTTTAACGGCTTGAACCAACATTTTTAAAGCAAAAACTAAAATTCTAAACATGTTTTATATTTAAATCTCACCTGATGTCAAAGATTCTGAATTCATTCTTAACATAATCATAATAATCATAATAACTGAGTTGTTTTCAGTATAAACAGGAAGTTGTGTTGAAGATGCTCTTTCCTTTTCAATTGTTTCCTTCACGTGTAAGAATTCTAAATACGTTGTGAATACGTTGTGAACATGAGTGACTTTCAGAAACAGACGCTGAACTCAGAACACAGAGAACAGAAGCAGTGAGCTCGTCACATACTTTCATTCTGATGAAGTGATTCTGTGTATGTGAACCCAGATATGATCCAGTGAACTCTGTTTGGTCTCTGGTTGGAGCTGCAGGTTGTTGAGCTGTAGTTTGTGTGTTTGGTGGTTTTCAGGTCTGTGTGTCGCTGCTTCCTGTTTGTCCACATCTGCTCTGGATTCTCTGTCGTAGCATCAAACTCCATCAGCTGCTGGTAGAATCGTGTCTATTTTTGTATTTTATATGAGCTGAGTGTTTGTTGGACTTGGTTCTGAACATGTTTGTGCCGCGTGGAGCTAACCGTGAAGCTCAGACTTGGTTCCTGACCAACAAAGCTTTTGTTTTGTTTTTGTCAGAGGAGATCAAATCCTCGACAGACGTTTGTGCACTTTCTTTAATTCCTTAAAGCACTTTGTTAGATTGTGTGTTAAAGTTTTCAACTTGTGTTTCTCAAAGCAAATAAAAGTGTTTGATTCTCTGACGTCTCTTCTCCTCATCATCCAGAGTTCTGCAGAGTTCTGCAGAGTTCTGGTGTTTGTATTGTTTATCCCCTGAAACGCAGGACGACGTTCTCTGAAGGCGTTCTGCACATGCTTGGTGATGACGTCGTGTTTCTAAACTTGTGTTCTGAACTTGCAGAACTTACTTTAGTCTCATAGTCGGATCACTGCAGAACCATCTGCTGCAGGGACAGAACTCTGGAACCAAACCAGTCCTACATCCACTCCGGGTGTCATCAGTACCAACTGTTCTATGAAGCGTGTTTCACGGCTAGAAGAGTTAAAATACGATTATATCAGGAAAACATTCCTCCTCAGAGTGGATCCTGTCTGTAGATGGTTCTGGTAGGTTCTGGAGGTCAAACGGTCCTTCCATTGTCTAGAACTGGTTCTGACCAACCACCATCACACATGCTGATATGAGCCTGGAACGTTTACCCAGAATGCAAGTTTTCTCTGGTGACTGATCAGAACCAGAACCACATCCAGGGTACCACTGATTGTTCCTATGACTCTGTGTCATAGACATTAACCTGGTACCACGATGATCCATCCCATAATACTGATGCTACCAACTGCTGACAGAGGACATGAACAGAACCAGGTCCAGTGTTCAGACTGAGACACCTGGATGGATGTAGAACTGATCTGGTGTCAGGTTCTAGCAGAACCCAGATGTGTTCTTCCTCCTAAATGTCATGTGTCTATCTGCTGTACTGATGAAGTTCTGAGGCTCAGAAATGATGGAAAAAGTCCATTAAAGTGATCAATCTGGACCCTCCTCTGTGGACTTGAAGGACCTGGACCTCTGGAACATTCACAGTCTGAAGGTAGAACTCTGGTCAGTGGATAAAGGTTCTGCAGAACCAGAACCAGATGTTCTGGAGGACCTTTGTTCAGACTGGGTTGCTCTACAATCTGTCCTCTTCACTAAACAACTCTGAGTGAAAGCAGTGAAGCAGATGATGTGACGGTAACATATGAGCCTTTACTGACATTAGCTTCTACCACAAACATTACTGTAGCAAACCAGATGCAGTTACAACAGTTTTCTGAGAGATGGCCACAGAACAAACTGACGTTATCGAAGCACAAAATCTGAAGCATCCAAAACAGTCCATCGAAACAGCACAGAAATAAACTGATTAGAATCTGAAGGATAGAAACGTTCTCCAGTGTGGCTGCTGGGAGGTTTGTTACATCAGAAGAAAGCCCTTTATACAAACTGAACACATTCTGTGAACTTCAGAACAGTGCTAACATGTTAGCCTCCTGCTAGCTCACCTACCAACGTTGTGCTGTTCAAGAGAAAGTTTCAAACATTTGTTGAATGTTCTCAGTCTCATTTACACAAAGGTGTTGGGAGGGTTGGCGTTCGTGGGCCAAGCTACCTTCTTTTCTTTAGCATCTCGGTCAAATGTATCGTAGACCGAGTCCTTGGCGACCGTCTTCGCCTGCACTGGGATGTCCACCACACCGACGTAGTTCTTTTTGGCCATGCGGGAGCTGGCGGTGATGGTGTACGCATTACTGCGGTAGCACTTCATGGACGACATGCAGAAGGTCTCCCGCATGCCGCGCCTGAAGTTTGCATTGTAGACGGAATACAGGGTTGGTTTGGACGCCGTGGAGCTGAAGGATATCCAGGCGATTGCCGTAAAGAACAGCAGTCCCTGACGGTTGGGCGACTCCCTCGGGTGCCACAGCTGGGCGACGTAGAAGGGCGTCCAGGTGAGGAAGAAGACCGAGTTGAGCATGAGGAACATCTTGATGGTCTTGACTTTAGTCCTTGGGACGATGTTCATCGTCCGGCGCACCGTGTGGCCGTCGGCGCTGATCCTCCAGATGTATCGGACCACCCGCTGGTAGAAGGACACGATCAAAGCCACCGGCACCAGAAACCCAAACAGGAGGTGAACGGCAGCGTACGCTATACTGCCCCAGCTGTCCGGGAGGAAAAAGTCACAGTGACTGTCTGTGGATGTCGATCCATAGAAGAAGAAGCAGGGCGAGACGAAGGCTGCGTCAAACAGCCACGAAGCCACGATCATCTTCTTGGCCTTTTCCCTGGACACCTTGAAGCTCAGGGGGTAGACGATCGTATAGAAACGGTCCACAGAGATGGAAAGCAGGACGTAGACCTGCACACCTGGACACAGGTGCTGCAGGTAACGTACAGCCTTGCAGACCGCGGCGCTCAGCGGCCATCGTCCCGCAGCCACCTGCAGGAGGACGAACGGGGCGCAGCCGAGGCTCATGAGCAGGTCAGCACAGGCCATGGACACCACAAAGTAGTTGGTGGTGGACTGAGTCCGCCGGCTGCGGTGGATGACCAGGCAGACGAGGGCATTTCCCAAGATGGAGACCAGCCACAGAACCCCGAACACCAGGCCCAGGACGGCCACCTCACCGGAGGTCAGCTCGTAGGAGGCGGAGGTGGCGTTCGACTGGCCGGAGGACGAGCCCTCGAGGCTGCAGAGAGGGGTTGTGGGTAAGGTTGCCAGGACAGTAGAGTTTCCTCTCTTGGAGTAGTTAAATGACATCTGATAGGTGAACGACGGAGAGTAGAGGGACGGATTGACGCCGACTGTGTTGGTGGACTCTGCATACACCATCGCTATGCTGCTGCAGCCGAGAGGAGCTGTGGACACAAAGAAAGAGTTGTCATCAGTGAAAACATCCACAGAGCTGAGAGCAAGAGTGCTTTGGGAACTATTTACTGGCAAACAGCTGGGTACACAACCGCCTGCTGCTTCTGTATACCGCCAGTGACTGGTCAAGCAGGTTGGTTGACTGGTTTAACTGGTTGGTTGTTAGATATGCAGTGAGGTTGGTAGGTAACTCTGTAGTTAGGTAGCTTGTGTTTAGCAGGTTAGTAGGCAAACTGATGGTAGGAAGGTAGGAAGGAAATTAGGTAGGTAGGTAGGTAGGTAGGTAGGTAGGTAGGTAGGAAGGAAATTAGGTAGGTAGGTATTTGTACTTGTATTTGGTGGTTGATTGGTTTGTAGGTACGAGTAAGGTTGGTAGTTAGATAAGTACAACTGGCTAATTGGTCAGTAGTTTGATTGGTCATTGGTAGGTAAGTAAGCTGGTTAATCACTGGGGTAGTTGGTAGTCAGAAGGCTTTATGGTCATGGTCGATTGGTTGCTGGAGATGAGAGTAGGTAGTTAGGTGGTTTGTATGTAAGCTAGGTGGTAGTCACAAGACTGACTGGTTGGACAATGGTTGGCTCATTGGTTGGTAGAAAGGTGGGTTGGTTTGGTTGGTTGACTGAGTTGTTTATAAATAGTTTTAGTTTGGTTAGTTAGAGAACTGGTTGATTTGTAAGAAGGCAGGTTGGTTGAGTGAAAGGTTAGTAGGTTAGCTGGTTGGTAGATAGTTTGGTATTTGAGCAGGTTGGTAGCAGGTTAGTGGGTAAATGGGTAGTTTGATGAGTTAGTTGGTTGACTGGCAGCTTGTTGTGTTGTGAGTTTGTTTAGAAGATTAAAGTTCTCTTCCAGCTGACAGAAACCTGAAACAGAACGTTGAGTTGATCGCTGCTCATTAGAAGAACCGACACTTAAACCTTCAGGAACCACAGAGTGGTCGTTTTGTTCACCTCCAGCAGACGAGGTTTTACGTGTCAGCTGCTCTGAGCCTTCGTCTTCGTCTTCATCAGGGAACCAGCTGCTGCTGATTTCATTAGTCCTTCGCTGGGACTGGTTGAGGTCTGCAGAGATGCTGTTTAACGGCGTGGAGAAGCTCCAGGGAGAAGCTGCTGCTGACTGCTGGAGTTCCTGCTTAGCAACGAATCATCTGACTGCAGCTGATTTAGCTTTCAACTGAACACTGAGCACGGACCAGCGGAGCAACGCCTGTCAACAGATATATCGATCTGTATAGATCTATATGTACAAGATTAAATGTGAATACGACTCATGAGGTTCATACGAACCAGTTCAACACTGAACGGCTGGAATCAGGATTCATAATAAATTACTCCGGTTTGTGCTTTTATTAGAGCTGCTACGTATCAACGACGTCTGACTGATTTATAATCAATTGGTGGATCAATCAGCTGACAGGAAGTTAAGTGTCGTCTCCAGTTTACAGCCGTTTGACTGTTAGTTGAACATAAACTAACTAAAGATGATTTTTTTCAACAAAATTTGTTTAATTTTTGTTTTTGTTGATCAGGCAGCCAATCAGAGGCAGAAGAGGCCATGACATCACTCAGGGTCATCAGGAGGTTAATAAAGGTCAAAATAGCTGCAGCTGATTGGTTGATCAGCAGCTGCTTTACTGATCAATAAATTCTGATTAAAGTCTGATCACGTGTTCAAACGGAAACCAATCAGACAAAATCAGGAACAAAAAACATCCAACAGTCAGTTTGATTCAAGCTTTGTCTTAATCCAACATGATAAAGTCAATCAATCAATCAATCAATCAATCAATCAATGGATGGACTGACAGCAGATCAGTCAGCAGCTGCTTTATATTCTGTTCCAGGCTCTCCAACATGGAGATGTTCTGACGTTCCTGGATGTTCAGCGGCTGTAGCTTCAGCCTTTGGTGGTTTCCTGTGACGCCTGCAGCTCTCTGAGCGTTGATTTAAATAATCACATTTATTGATCAGGTCAACGGTTTGCTGCCCAACCAGCTCTGTACTTAACCTGATGAAGAGGAAAATGTCCTTAAAGCAGCTCGAACAGGACTGGAGGAGCTGCTGGAGCTCCAGGACGTCGCTGGTTGAGCCTCTGATGCTGCTTTTGGGGGTTTTGACTGTTATTGATCAGCTGGTTGCAGCTCCACTTCCTGTTTCCCCTAAAATACCAAAATCACATCTTCATTTAAACCCAAAGTGAGGCCTGAAGCACCAGAGGACAGTGATGTTCCTGCACAGCGCCACCTGCTGCTGGTCTCCATGTCAACAAGCTGCTCCGTTACCCAACAGCCTCAGACTGAGATGTGCTGCTGGCTGGTGGTGACCAGAAGACCACCTGAACACTGTGGAGCTGTGAGTAAGGCTGCAGCCCGGTTCCTCTGCAGCCTCCAGAGCAGCCAGGCTCCTTTAATCAGCCTGAATCAGTGGAGAGTTCAAGCTGCTCATGGAAAAACACCAGCAGCTGGAGGAGGCTGGAGGAGGCTGGAGGCAGCTGGAGGCAGCTGGAGGAGGCTGGAGGAGGCTGGAGGCAGCTGGAGGAGGCTGGAGGAGGCTGGAGGAGGCTGGAGCTGCTGCATCACGTTCAATCACCTCCATGAAGGTTCACAATCACTGTCAATAAAGTCCAGCATCACGGACTCTGCTCAGACGTGTTCCTCTGGTCCGACACCTGGCAGCACATATCAGACATCTGGATCAATAAAATGAGGCCGAAGCGGCTCCATCTTACCTGCGGAGCATCACTGCAGCTTCCTGCCGTCGTTATCCGGAAAATGTCGCCTCCGTCCATCGGCTCCGGGCTTCACAGGATCCGTGACGCAGCTCCAGCTTTCGGCCTGAACAGCGTCTCTGTCGCCGGTGAAGGACACCGACCGCCGGATCTGTCCGTCCGTCCGTCCTCGGCGGCTGCAGCCGGGCAGCGGGCCGCCCTCAGGAGCCCGTCCTCCGGCCGCAGGTGTCGGTGAGTCCCGCCGGGATCAGAGGATGGAGGACAGGAGCTGCACGGAGCTGCTGGAGGTCCAGAGGCCGGAGGAGGAGCGGGTCGGAGCGGGCAGCAGGCAGCGGCTGACCGGAGGATGAAGCTGCGGAGGAAGAGGAGGATGTTTTCTGCTCAGCAGCAGGGGCGGAGTGAGGGCGCGCAGGGGCCCGGGCAGCAGGGGGCCCGGTATGGAGGCCTGGTGGTGTCCAGACTGAAGGCAGCCTGGAGATAGGAACAAATCTAAAATATAAAAATATAAATTAAAAATGAGTCTGTGTAGAATACAAACATATACATTAAAAGTCAGCGTGAGTAAAATGGATGCTTATTTGTTTCTTTGTTTTTACTGATTTTCTTGGTTTTACTTTTGTGTCATTCTTTTTCATAACTTTGTCTTTTTGTGGTTTAAAATTTTCAAAAACTTTTTTTTGTTTTACCAATTTTGTTTCATTTTACCTTTTCATAACTTTCATGATTTCTGTCTTTTTATTCTACTTTCTGACTTTTCACATGTTGTGAGTCTTTATTTCTTTTTTCCTTTTTGATCATTTTCATGTTCTGCTTAATCATTTTTGCATTATTTTAATTTTGTAGGTGAAGAAGACAAAAGTTTCCCTCCAATGATAAAAATCGTATTTTTTTCAGACTCCACACCACAAAAAGCCGTCCCATTAAAAGAGATGAAATCAGGCAGGACGGTGCCAGAAAGCTCAGGTTAAGAAATAACAGCAAATATCTGTAAAATGATGACATTTAGCTGATTTAAATCCAGTAAATCTGTAATTTGTCAGTCGAATGCTGTAAAAGAGCAAAACAGTATTTATAAAAGTACATATTTGTGATGTGGATGTTATTTACAGTTTTCCCTTATTTCTGTTTTTTACACTCAACATGGAGATGAACACGTGTTTTAGATTTTACTTGACTTTATGTTAAATCCAGTAGATTGTTTACAGAACGTTAACCTGTTAAGCCGTCGGTTTTCAGCCTCTTACGTCTGTTTGTAATCGTGGCTTTAATCCTGAATGTGACTTTAATCGTCAGGACTTGGGGTCAGACTGCAGGTCTTCATCCTCCTCATCATCAGGTTTAGCTCTCGGGTGTTTTTATCCACCGGTTCTGTTTGTTCTCTTCATGTTCTGCTCAGTTTGTAGCAGCAGGAACCACAAAGTGGGTTTATGAAGAATTAAAGTCGTGTTTCTGCTCCATCGGCCTTCAGCACGTCGGCGCTAAAAAAGGACATGATGCCGTCCATCTGCAGTTATTGGTCCGGCGCTGACGGGGGCTGCTGTCGCACCACGTCGCCATGGCAACCGCAGCTGAGGAGAAGTGGTTTTCCAACAGGCCCGTCGCTATGGAAACCCGACAATGGTGCTGATGAGAGAGGATGACAGCAGAGGATGGCAGAGAGCAGCTTCAACAAAGTTCAGTAAGACGACATTTAAACGGACACGAATCGGATGAAGAGATTTAACGAGATGTTTTAATTATTAAGCAGTTAAACCCTGAAGTATGGAACCCCGTTAGTGTCCAGAAGGAGAGGCACCAAACAAACATCAGAATCAGAGGCGACAGCTGATGATGGAACATAAACATTCTGAAGATATGAAGTCAACAGTTGACATAATTTTTAACAAGAAAAATAAAAAATATTAAAACAAAAGACAGAAAAAGATCAAAATTCTATGGATTTATCTTTAATTAGATCAAATAAATGAAAGACGTCCAGAGTGTGTATGGAAGCCCATTACTGCCACAAAGACAGAAAAATAATAATAATAATAAATCCCAAATGTAAAGTCTGAAATAAATCTGTTCATGGGCTCATTTCTGAGATGTGATGGTAATAAATGAATAATCAGAAGTTACGTGACGTCATTCATTCGCTGCATTCTTTATTATGTTTAATTATTATTTTTCTCCTGGTAATTCAATATTTTTATTTTAATGAAATGTAATCCTTAAATTGACATTGAAATGACCTGATTCACATTTGCTTAATGATGTAATGAAGACTTTCAGGTTTCAAAGCTGCCTGACAAGAACCACAGAAACCTGAATGAATTCTGAAGCGTGGATAAAATATATAAATACAAGTATTAATGAACATAAAGTCAGAGTTTTTATTAATTAATCTAATTAATATTAATACGTATTTTGTATTGTGGTTATTAAAGTTGTATTATTTGTATATTTTCATTTGATTCCACTCAAACTCACAACTTATTCATTAACGTCAGGTTCACGGTGGTTTTGTGTAGAAAATGTCAGAAAATCTAGAAATGGTCTTTTTATTCCCTGATACACATTTACACGCCTCTTAAATCAGTAAAATAAACCAAATGTTGAGTTTAGCAAATATTTCCATGGGAAGCTTTAACTGGATGATTTGTGGTGTTTTTGCTTAAACATCAGTTTAACAGTTAATCAATGATCACATTTTTGTTTTACTTTCAGCGCTGGTTGGTTCCTGTAGAACTAGTGCAGGCTGTGAACTGTGATGGACCTCTGAGGTTCTGGGTGAGTCTGATCAGTCTGAGCTTCTCCCTGCAGCTGTAGGTGAAGCTGGAGTTCCTGACGGTGACATGAAGCGATGTGAAGCCGGCTGTGAGTCTCGGCTTCCTGCTGCAGCTCTCGTCATTCATCACTGTGACTTAGCCATGCATGCTAATCGCTCCAGTATGAGGAAGCTCTCAGTGTTCCTCGGCCTCCATCACCTCCTTTGTCCTCAGAGCTCATTCACAAACTCACGTTACACAACCAGAGAAGCTCCACAGAACACAGCCAGAGATCAGAGAGACGCTCAGCTTCTCTCCTGTCTGATCCAGGCCTGGAAACTCCATGAAGACAAGATGTTTTCATCAGTAGTTATTCTTTAATATGATTCAATCACACAGACGGTCCTTCAGAGCCACAGCGTCTGAGAAAATACAGAATATTTCAGGAACATGTCAGATATTTAACTGTGCAACGTTTGGATCAGACTTCATGTTCACCTCTGCAGGACGTTTCACTGACCAGAGCTCTCAGTATGCAGTCATCTGACATCTCACAGTATCACTGTTTCCTCAGTGCTTCATACTTATATCCTAAAGTGTGCAGCAGTCTGAGGTCTGAAAGCAGCAGGTCTTCTGTCTGTCCTTCATTTGTTCACAATATGCAGTATATTTAGCAGTATTTGTCTCAGTATGTTTGTACAGCTAGTATACTTTATTACTGAAAACATCCTGAAGCAGCAGTACTCTGTGTACACTTTGCAGTACAGTTTACAGTATGTAGTATCCTTAGTATATTTCAGTTATTACTAGTGCAGTACTTCTGGTATATTTGCAGGAGTATGCAGTCTGAGAGTCTTAAAGGAGCAGTGTTATCTGTCGGCTCAGTGTCTGAGTCTGTGCCTGCCCCTTTAAGCCCCTCCGTATTATGTGTACTTTATGTATTTTACTGTGTACTTTATCACCGACAGTCTTAAAGCAGCAGGAATATTAAGTGTCGGCCCAACTCCGAGGCCTCCTCCCCTTTAAGCCTCTGCTTCATCAGTATTGTGTTTATAATATGTTTTACTGTGTATTTGACAGTATTTATGCTGTAGTTAAAGCAGCAGCATTAAGTGTCGGCCCACTCCGCGGCCTCCTCCCCTTTAAGCGCCGCTTCATGTGAGCGCCGCTGGATGACGACATGCTGTTATTTTTATCGCGGTGACCTCATCTCTGATGGAGCAGCAGGACTCCAGGACCGAGTCTCTCCGCTCCGACTGTCCGCTCCTGCTGCCTCCTTCTGCCGCTACAGACAGCCTCACGGCCCGGGGACAGGCCGGGGAACCCGCCGGAGACCGGCCCGGACCCTGACGCCGCTGCCCGGACTCTGACGTCGAGTTTCCGACGGTGAGTTCACCGACATTTCTGGTTGGAGAGTGAACGAGCGGCATCTGTAAAGTTCGGTTAACGGGGCCTAAAGTTAAAGTTCGGTCGGTGTGTCGGTCCAGAGCGAACTAGCACCGACGGAGAGGCAGTGGCCGAGGCGGGAAACGGGTTTGTGCCGGTTTGAGCTCCGTCCGTCCTGCGGTCCGTCGGCCGTTAAAACCGAAACACGGCGACAAAATGTCAGAACAGCGAGCTAGCGTTACCGCGGGCTAGCGTTACCG